CTGTCGTCATCTGTTGAATTGGTATATGAAGCCGATTCATCTTTCTCTTCATAGATGGCGTCGTCCTCTGATCCATCCATAGCATTACTAATTCTGCATTTCAGGAACAACTTCTTGATCATTTCTGGTGATATTGAATCCCAAGCATCCTTTACCCATTTCGTTATCAAATCAATGTCTGGTTTCATCAAGGTTCCTCCTTTCGGTTACAGTGCCATCTGCCAGGCAAGATAGTACAACAGTGAAATGTGACTTTTCATGACCGGTTGTTTTTATAAGTACAGTTTTTTCTCCAACGGTTGCTACAGTTCGATTGCCAGGCATATCAAATGTCATTGGAGTTTCGTCCATATTACCAATGTTATTCAGAGCGAAACCATTCTTTTTTCTCTGTTTGATAATGAATTTATCTTTAGGCAGCTTCTGAACGATCTTTGTTCGCTGACGAAGACACAATCCATATCGGTTCATGAATCGTGTGCACCAACGAGACGATGCTCTAAATTGTGCCATACCTTCAGTCGCCCAATATTTTTCTTTTGCCATCTGAAGTGCTACAGCGAGTCACAACATATCCATTTTGTCTACATTCCATTATCCAGTCATTCAAATCCTTTTCCATTCCATCAAAAGGTGTAGCTTTGAAACGTAATGCTTTCTTCAACTTCGGCATGGCTTGCAATTTAGCCTCATTTTTCCTCCAATCTCTTACGAGTTTTTCACTGATGCTAAACTCTCTTGCAGCTACGCTATTATTGGCTTCCTTTGCACGTTCAATAACTTTCAATTTAAGCGCAGCATTGTAAGAAGCTATCGTTTTCTTTGCATTTGACAACAAACAAGAGTAAATAGTCAATCAAGTTCCCTTATATGGTGTACCGGTATGTTTCTTTCTCCCCCTCACTCCCCTTTTTTTCCCCAGTCTCTATCTTCCCCCTCTGTGTCTCTCTCTTGCCCCTGTTTCATTATCCCCTATCCCCTGTGTGTCTCTCTTCCCCTCCCTTTTGTGTGTCTCTCTCCCCCTCTGTCTCTTTCTCCCCCCTCCCCTTGTGTCTCTCTATTCCCTTTCTCCTGAGGCTGACCTTGAACGTGAGAGACTGGAAATATAACACAAATGCCTCTCTGTCATGCTCCCTCGTGGTACCCACAATTCCCAGCATGGACACATCACGAAGTAAACACTACTCTATGATGTGGCTATGCTGGGCATTGTGGGAGCCGCGAGGGAGCATCATAGTTTTGTCTGCTACCTCCTTCAGTTTGTGCTTTCTGACAGCTGCACTGCTAGGGTGAACCATGCCGCCCTGACAGTGTTTAAGCCCATAATGTGCAGGGCAGCATAGTACGCCTTAACTATGGGCCAGGGACCCTACACTATAAGGCCAGGAATACATTTGTGTTCCTGACCCTATACTATTCCTTTAATATATAGTGTATATAGTGTATCCTTTAATATATAGTGTATAAAGTGTATATATTACACTGGCCCCCTATTGCTTAGGGGGGCAAGAGGGGGCCAGGGACCTTACACTATAAGGCCAGGAATACATTTGTGTTCCTGACCCTATACTGTTCCTTTAATATATACACACACATGCACTCACTGGCTCATACACACACTGACACATACACAAATGCACTCATTGACTCTTGACACACACTCATTGACAGAAACACACACACTCACTGAAAAACACACACATTCACTGACAGAAACACAAACACACACTGACAGAAACACTCACATTCACTGACAGAAACACACACTCCCTGACAAACACACACATTCACTGACAGAAACACACACACTCACTGATAGAAACACATACACAAACTGACAGAAACACATACACTCACTGACAGAAACACACACATTCACTGACAGAAACACATACACACACTGACAGAAACACTGACAAACACATACATACACTGACAAACACACATTCACTGACAGAAACAAACACTCACTGACAAACACACACACTGACAAACACACATTCACTGACAGAAACACACACTGAAAAACAAACATACACACTGACAGAAACTCACTAGATTACAAACACTTTTTTTTTTTTTTTTTATAAATTAAACAAGTGTGTACCAGTGGCCAGCCTTCTCTATTTCCAACACTTGGCCGCTGGGATATAATGTCATGTATCCCAGCAGCCCTTAACATAATGTGAGCTGATTGGCTGCAGCTCACATCCCCTCATTCGGCCGGCGCATCTGGAGAGTAAGAGAGATTGACTGGCGGGAGAGCGGTTTTATGTGCTCCAGCCGGTCCCACGGACTTCAATGTCCCATCCCCCTCCCTCCTTCTCGCTACCCTGATTACGCCGCTGCCGCCCTCCTTCAGTTTGTGCTTTCGGACAGCTGCACAGTCAGAAAGCACGAAAGTGAGTATGCCGCCGGACCGGCTAGGCGGCCACCCGGTTCAGCAGCACCACTATGATGCGGCCATCCCCCCTCACAACTGTATATAAGTCGAGCCTGCAATATAACATTAAGTTTGCAGGTAAAATTTCTAGACTTATACATGGGTATATACGGTAATAGTTTTTGATCCAAGGATAAAGCTGACTGCCTTTCTGGGGCCAAAAAGGAATTTAATTTCCTATTTTCTGCAAAATTTAAAGTGTTCCAGACTGGGTTTTTTGCCTTCTTTTGGATCAACAGCTGTGGGGAGGAAGGCTGAACTTGTTGAACACGTCTTTTTTCAGATTATGTAACTATATATACTGGACCCTTAATGTCAGCTTTTCAAAACGTTAATGCTACACTTAAAGTGTTCTTGTTTAGATTACTCCCTCCCCCCCATGCAAAGTAAAATAATAAAGGTATTATCTCCTTCCATTCAGCTGGGTCCAGGCCTTACAGCAACCACTACTCTACCTTCTTCTATGATCATCGAAACAACTAAGCCAGTGCTATTCCATAGAGAAGCTTTGAGAGCCTTACTAGGGGCATGCACAGGAATAGCTGCATCAAAAAGATTATCCTGAGAGAGAAGCATTATAATGGGTCACTATGGGGAGATTTACCAGTGTTTTGTGTTGTCAAGATGCAGAGTGTGAATGCCTTCAAACAATGAAGATGTTCTTGGAGGAAGTTCCTCTTGTGGCTGTGTGACAGAATATCTAAATGATCAGCCATTAGAGGCATACTAAATGGCAAATGTAAACATGTCTCCAAAAGGGCATTGGTTACATTTGTCAGACTACAGGGTAGCATCTAGGCACCAAGACAGTTGTAGTTACGAAGGTTAATGCAACCTGTCATCTATTAACAGCGTTATAAATGTATTATAAAAAGGTAAGCTACAAGCAGGATGGATGCCAACCTGGATTCTATTGATGGTACTAAAGCATCAGCTTTAGTACCATTGGTGCAGGGGAGACGAGGCAAGTCGGGTCATTCATGTGTTCCAGCAAGGTATGTGATTGGTTGTAACTTGATGCAATTAATACTCCTATGGAACCATGCCAAAGACTCTGTGGGTATCACTTTGAAAACTTCTATTTAACAAAATGTGATATTGATAGAATAAACTTGCAAATGCATCCCTAAATAATATAAAGTCAGATTACATGTTTACCACACATGCTATGTGCACAATATAAAGGACGCAACATGCAGACAGTTGTTGGCAGAAATATTCATTTTTATATGAGCTTTTTTTTTTTTTTTAAATAACACACAACAATGAATAGCATCTTTACTATACAACACACAAGTTTGATTGTGTTATTACAACAATGATATTGTTACATCTATGCTTCCAGAATTCTGGTAAATTACCATAATACAATAATTAAAGTATCTTACGTTACAACAAATGTATATGTTCCAAATGTATATGTTCTTATTATGATGAAAATGGAAGATAACTACAAATATAGTAAATAGAATACTTTAGCACCATATCTATGATGGAAATCATATTTCTAATAAAGGTTATTATAAAGTTACTGACATGAAAAATATAATGGAAAGAACATGTTACAAAATGAAATAAAAAGACTAGTCATGATTGGTAGAACATGCGAACACAGAATTAGAGTTTGCACGTGACTTATTCTCATTTGGCTTGCACATCCCAAAGGGATCATTTTTTTGCCTATGGCTAAGGTCTCAACAACATTCCCTATACTGCTACTTTTAGATTAACAGGAGGTGTGGTTGCAATGTCATACCAAATCAGCATCTTATAGGAGGTTTCTCACTGATGGAATTTGACTAAGTAGACCCTAAGTAACCATGGGCAACAGTTGTGGCGCAAAGTGTAAAAGTGTTTTGCACTATCTTTTTTATGAACGATTTTGCACTGGGGAATGAGAAAACATAAATTTAACAAAATCTATTATATTAGGACCCAAGCTGATCACGTGGTGCTCCAATTTGGCACCATGAATACCTCTTTCTTTCTGCCTCCTCTTCTGGTGTCTCAGATGCTAAATGCTGTGTCTCTGTCTCCACTTTTGGTGCGGCGTCCATACACTGATGTCATAACGCTAATGGCGCAAGTCTGTGTCATTCTCATTGCCCTCTTATTTTGAGGGTATGGCTATGCTAAATTGTATAAGTTAGCCTCAAAATCAGTTTTCCTTGCCCTATTGTGGTTCCTTGATCCCTTTAGTGCATTTATAGTCCTTTCTTTTCTCACTGACCTGCTTTCTGAAATCCCTTGACCTTGGTCTTTTGTGAAGCCTAGACACATCAGAAAACTGCTAATACAATCTTGTACCTATCTTACCATTCTTAGTTTCTGCAGGTATGAATCTCCAATTGACTTCTTAACAGACACTCCTTGACAAATTGGACCACAGAATGGACCAACTTGCTGAACCTTTACAAGATCTGTGAAACTATACAGTTTGTTTGTAAACTGAATCAGAAACTGCCCCAGTAGTAGCTCTCCTAGTGGGTTCGAAAGATCTACCACTCTTAGAACGTCCCCTAGCAAGACTGCAAGTGTATGTTATGGGAATGATTCAGCAGGGTTTTGTGCTTTCCTTAATCAAAAAGCATCAATTCCGATCCATCTCCTCATGCTTACCGTACAGACAGGGCCAATGTGGGGGTCCATGATCAACCACCTCATAGATGAGGCTTTAGTATAAGCATACCCACTGTATGAGTACAATCATCATATTCTGTATAATAACACTAGTTTTGTTGCCGGATTGAAAATAATTTTCAGCTAATGCTGCTAAACATTTTGCATTGTCCTTATTGGCGATACGCATTGTGATTATACTACGGTTTTATTTTTATATCTATTTTATAGTCTGGTAATACATTTCTTTTTTACCATTTACTATTGGTCCTGCTTTTATATTGAATATTTTTTATCCTTTGAGTATTGCAGCAGTTTGACCCCTATATATCCTAGGTGGGGATTATACCACCCAAGCTGATTCCATAGAGCATACTAGTGCTCTAAAAAAAATGTATGTTTCCTCAATTAGTCTTGTCATATATTGTTCCATACAAAGTGCCTATATTTCTGTTGGTGGGAAGTAATTATATTTATCGCCTTACCCTATTTTCCAGTGGTTTTAGGCTACCCATGTTTGGCAATACACAGCCCAATCATAGATCGGGGGAAAGGAGAAATCATATCTGATGGTTGTCGCCATCACTGGGGGCTGAAGACGGACACTTTATGTAGGGCCCCAGATTGCTGCTTTGCTTTAGTCACCCTGTGTTCATTAGATATAGTATTTGTTTGTTAGCCATTCTCCTCTCCTCCCCCCTTTCCTTGTTGCTTTCCCAGAAGGGCATTGTCCCACTGTTTCAGAGACCGCTTTTGTCTGCTGCATAGTATTATATGCGTTTTAATGAGATTTCGTGTACTATGGGAGATAATTGTGTTAGTGTGTCTGTATGTGTAATGGCACCCCTAGGCATAAAAGGGGTTAACAGCCGTTTAGGAGATATTCCCTTCCAGATATACAGGCAGCTACTGTAGACACCAATCCACCGAACCGGAAAGGCATACGAATGCTCTCAAACATACGAATGCTGTAAACGGCCGAATAGGAAAAAATATACGAATAGGTTTACACTCCTAGCAGTCGAACTGGAACACCATACAATAAATCCCCCCCCAAGAACGAGACAAGGCTCCGTTTTGAGGGTCAAGCAGGAACAGACAGAGCTGTGGGTTTATTGTTCTTATATACACAGTTTTACACATTAGTACCACCCATAGGGTTTTGGAAAACAACCAATAAACACGTACAATACTGGTGCTGGTAGTGTGCTATGTGGGTGAGGGTGTTTGTGTGTGTGTGCGCTTGCGAGGGTGCGGTTTGTGTGTGAGGGTACTGGCAGTGTGCTGTGTGTGTGTTTGTTAGGGTCTATCTTGTGTGTGTGTGAGGGTGCTGTTTGTGTTTGTGAGAGTGCTGTATGTGTTTGTGATGGTGCTATATGTATATGTGTGTGTGTGTGTGGGTGCTGTTTGTGTGTGTGCTGTATGTGTGTGGGTGCTGTATATGTGTGGGTGTTGTATGTGTGAGGATGCTGTGTGTGTGTGGGTGCTATTTGTGTGCTGTATGTATGTGGGTGCTGTATGTGTACTGTATGTGTGTGTGCTGTTTGTGTGCTGTATGTGTCTGTGCTGTATGTTTGAGTGATTTTTGGGGGTGGAGGTGGGGACACAGTTAATAAATACCCCCCTCCCTTCTTACCTTATGTAGGGAGGGGGGACCGTGCTGCTGTCTTCCCTGGTGGTCCAGTGGAGGTGGGGGCAGATTACTTAATATCCCCCCTCCCTTATTATCTTATGTAGGGAGGGGGGATCCTTTCTGCCTTCCCTGGTGGTCTAGTGGTGAGTGAACTCTAGCCTGCGGGGCTAGAGTTCACTCTCGCGAGATCTGAGCATTGCCGCGGCAACGCTCAGATCTTGCGAGAGGAACCCGGTGGAGCTGCCGGCAATAGCTCCCCGGGTCATCTCCTGCCTCCCTCCCTGCATGTGGGTCGGTGGGGAGGGAGGCTGAGAGCAGATCCAGAGCTCGGATAGCGCCGGCTCTGCATGAGCCGACAGGGGAGATCCTGAGATCTCCCCTGCCGGTCTCACTCCATAGGCGTGCCGCGAGGATTAGAGTGTGCCCGGCACACTCCGTGCGCACGCCTATGATTAAGCTATGGAATGTTAACCTAGTTAAGTCCTAGACACCAAGACTCCAGGGAGTGACTTGTATTGTTTTGTTTGATGACTACCTGTTGTGATTACTCCTGCATATAAACCTGTGTTGTGTTCAATGAAATCAGTTCTACTTCACCCATTACTAAGTCTTGGTTAGTGTTTGGGTGAGACAGCTACATCACTGTATCTAATCCAGGGTGAAAAAGCTCCAAAAAGCTGCGGTGACTAGGGCAGAAGCATTCCAGATTTTTCCCTTTTGTGATGGCAATCCTTCACATTTAGTGGCAGCTTCCTAGTGGTCATGAAAAACATCCCTGGACACCGGTGCATGTTCTGAGATCCCTGTATGCCTCCAGGAATTTGTCAAGAATTCCCTATAATAGTGGTTCCAGTGGAGGCTGCAGGACACTTGTCTTAATGGAGAATGTCTTAATGGAGAATAAGCTAGCCTGGAGAGATGGCATACAGTAACAAATCTGGTACAAGGCCCTGGAGGAAACTTGGGTTAGGTGGAGAGCAAGCCTACCAAGTCAGTAACAGGCAGAAACAAGTGGTGCTACGGATGCTACGGAGGGCAGCCCCTGGAAGAGTGGGTGATAGAATTCCAGTGCCTGGTAAGGATGGAACTGTGGCTGGATGAGGCGTACCGGGGTTTATGGTGGTATGCAGTCCAGCAATACCCTTGGATGGCAGTGGATAATAGGCCAGAGGGTGAGGATTACAATGACCCTGGCCTGTTGTGGGAGGCCTTAGAGGAGGACAGTGACTTTGGCAGTCCTGAGGAGTCTCGGTTATGGGACATCCGTGAGTACAGGGGAGACATACTGGAACTCCCTGGAGCTACTGAACTGGGACCAGACCTGACCCATCTGGCCACAATTAACACCTTTTAAGTAATGTAAACTGCCTTTTCTTTAAAAAGAAAGTGCTTACATTAAAAGGCCTGCACGGACACACTATACACAAAAGAACAATTACATTAAGCTGTAGTTTTTCTGGTGACTATAGTGTACCTTTAACTAATGTTATGAACAATGCAATCTAAAGAGCCAGACTTTGCAATGCAGGAATTAAGCTTATTTAAAAGATGTCATCTTCTGTACCTAGTCAAACAAATGTCCATACATTAAGCATTCATTGTATGTAATATTATTGAATTTGGTTCATTCCTCAACCCATACTCTGAATTTTGGGGCACCCTATATAATGAATTAAAAAGGTAATCCATCAACATATAATTTAAGAGATCGATTAGGGCATTGCAGAGTCCAAAAAGCATGATTGTGTACTCATAGTGCCCACTTCTGGTGTTAAAAGCGATCTTCCATTTGTACACATTGTTGAGCCTAACCATTGTATGCTCCTTGTAAATCTAATTTGGTAATGATTTTTTACTCTTTGAATTTATGAAATCGTTCAGAAATCAAAGGGATTGGTGTAACGGCACCCTCGGGCATAAAAGGGTTAAACCGCCGTTTAGTAGATCTTCCCTTCCAGAGACACAGGCGCAGCTACTGCAGAACAACAATCCGCTGAACAGGAAACCATATGTAACGGATCACCTGGCACCCCGACTGGGTACCTCCGTTGAAGGATGCTCCTAGCACTTCCTGAGGACTCCAAGCACTGCAGCAGACACCAAAACCACCGAACCGTAGGAGCATATGAATGCTCTCAAGCATATGAATGTTGTATACAGCTGAATAGGAAAAACCATGCAAATAGGTTTACACTCCTAGCAGTCAAACTGGAACAGCATACAATAAATCCTCCCCCAATAATGAGACGACACTTCACTTTGAGGGTTAAGCAGGAACTGACTGTACTGGCACATACAGCCTCTTTTATTCCCAATCCACAAATTTAGTACTGCCCACAGGGTTTTACAGAACAACCAATCAATCTGTACAATACACACCGACACTCCCACACAAAATCCTCCCCTCTGCCCGTTATACAATTACCTTACACAATGGGTAATCTAATTATCACAGACAGAGAAATACAGTTTCATAAAATACATCACAGTGTCCCCAAAACATGCAATAACCCCATAAAGTATATCCTTGGAACCAGGGGATCTGGGTGAACCACAAATCCAAAATTCACCCAGATCCGTTCAGTACTTTGGAAGATACAGTTTAATGCAGATTGCACAAAACATATGCAGGCTAAATGAAAAACAATTACTGTATAATGTGTCCCCTGTTGTATAGTCCAAAACCACTGCACAATGTCTCTGTGCACCAAATACCGGTGAGATGGCACCGTGTTGAAAAGTCCAAACAGTGTCTGTGAGTTAAAATGGCCGCCATCCATTGTTCTTACCATGTGCTTCATCCATTGTTCTCACCATGTGCCTCTGATACAGGAAATGGTGGACACCCAGTAACTCCACAGTATGTCCCCAGATGGTTCTTAAAGGGCCAGCAGCAGCACAACACAAATCCATTATGCCCAAATCATGTCTTTAAAGGGCAATATATCTTAGGGACCATAGTCACATGGCAGGAGGCTGGCAATCAGTCTTTTCCAATGCCCAGTGGCGAGGTCGGTTTCGCCACACCATATGAATGCCATAAACAGCCGAATAGGAAAAACCACATGAGTAGGTTTACACTCCTAGCAGTTGAACTGGAACAGCCTACAATAAATACCCCCAAGAACGAGACAAAGCTCCATGCTGAGCTGTGGGTTTATTGTTCTTATAATACACATTAGTACCACCCACAGGGTTTTGGAACACAACCAATAAACACATACAATACACTCAGACACTCCCACACAAAATCCTCCCCTCTGCCTGTGATACAATTACCTTACACAATGGGTAATGTAATTATCACAGGCAGAGAAATAAAATTTTTCCACATTATTCATAACTTGAAAAGTATGCATCACTGTAACGGACCGTTTTGCCCACAAGAGGTTAAAAAACGTTTAGGTGATATTCCCTTTTTTTAGCCGCACAGACACCAAGCACCAATCTCCCGAACTGCAAACCCACAAATTCACCAACTCCCGAACTGCAACCAAGGGAATACTCGAAACTCCCAAACT